TTGCTAAGTGATCGTCTGTGTGGGTGGGGACACTTTGCTGGTCAAATATCATGACACATTCTAATTTCATATTCAGAGCGGAGAAGGTCGATATTCTGAATGCTCAGAAACTGCTTCTCCTTCCCTCACTTAAATAACATGGAAAGTTATGGGGGCTTATCTAAGTAGAGCTGTTTTAAAAACAACACTCACGACTACATCATAATAACCTGGCACTTTCCTACAACTCTAAGAAGCAAGTTGGTTTTCTTCTTTACTCCTGTGCACACTGTCAACACTGAGGGCCCCTTTCCTAATCAGATCTGTACTGTACCCTTAGCACTTCATGCTTACTGCCATTGGAGTACAAACTAAAACCCAGGGTTTTCTATTACTCACAGGGTGTGCCCGCTGTGGTGTTAGCCACCTGAGCATTGCCGTAGTGTCTAGTACATCACGGCACTGAGCAAAATGCTTGCTTATTGTGTGGGACAAGTTGTCAGTCATCAGAAGAACAAAGCTTGTTTGGGGAAGCAAATTGGTTGAGCCTCAGCAACATTTCATTCTGCTCTGCTTTCTTTAATTGTATTGTTCAGTGGATCCTTGTGCTTAATATCAAAAATCATGCCTTTGCTTTCCTGTGTCCTATGAAAGGTAAGAGATACTTTACCAGAGGACACCTCACAACAGGCTCACGTGTCTCTAGTTAGCAGCCTGCTGAAGGCTGAGGCTGTTTGACTGTGGATATTAGACATCTTCCTCACAGTTCAGTTTTCCTTTGCTTATTGATTCATTCACTTAGCAGCTCATTAAAATCTAGTGGTGAGACCAATCATCATAGTCTCCCCTAGCCACGCTAATATGTACTATTCTATCATTCTTTTCCAAGCCAAAGCAAAATATGACATAGGAATTCCACTAAAGCATCACCATCCCACTTGGTGTGAAACCAGCCCAGAAGTTTTATCAGAGACAGAGTCCCCGTAAGCCCCCACCACAGCCACATTGGATGTTAGGTCAGGCTGCCTGTTGCCACCATGTACGACAAACACGTTTTCAGCAGTTAATTAATTCCCCTACTACTCAACAGAAACTCAGCTGCAGGTGGATGTCAGTCAGTCTCTGGGTTATAGTGTGCACGTGTACACCTGGAGTTTCAGAAGGTGCAGCTGTAGCCAGTGCGTTTTATACCCAGCATGCCTTTAGCCTGTTATCTAAAGCTGAAGCCCTTGGCATGTTATGTCCTGCTTAAGACTCGAGCAAACACTTCTTCCACCAGTCTGAACTCTCTCCTGGGGCTGCAGACTCTATGTATGTGCTCTGCTTACTTCCTACTCCACATTAGTAGTGTTCACACAGGCTAGATGGCGCTGTTGAAGCCTGAGGGAATAAACAGTGTTTTGCAATGGCTTTGTTAGCAAAGGGCACACTGTAATCACTGCCTTTCAGAGTTGGCAGTCCCTTGAGGGGCAAACTGAATTGTCTGGGGTCATGTGGTTAGTGATTGACAAGTCACAGTTTGGATCCTACATGTGCTTTTTGTCATCTCAAGAAACATAAAAAGTAATTAGCAACTGTCAAGATTAATCATATTAAAATAGAATAAAATGTGACAAGGACAGAAGCCAACATTTGCCACTAGAGTAGACTTCAGTGATGTTCCTCCCTCATAGTCCTCTGTCCTGTAGAAATAGCCTTCACCAAAAATCAAATTCTGATCCTGCCCCCAGGCACCAATGCCAGGGACGTTGGGAATCCACCCTGCTTTCACCTCAGGGGGACAGCCATTTGCTCTAGACAGTGCGTATCTGCACAACTTCCCTGGGATCTTTCTTGGGTGACATCTTCTTGGCTTCTGCCTGCCTTCCTTGCCCTACTTCTCGTTGAAGGAAGAGATGGCAGGTTCAGTTGTTGTCCCTGAGGCCACAGGTGAGACCCAGCCTCACACTTCCGAGCACATTTGCACACAGCCATAGTGGGAAGTAGGTCTCCATTTTTCTGCCACGGCATCCACCGTGCAGACACCAGTGCTCCAGATGCCTGGTCCACCCTGTGAAGGGTTCAGAGCTGCTAGCTGTTAATCACCGCTAGGTTCCTTATGATGCTGAACACGGATAACTGTAACAGGTTTCTATTTAGAGAATAATGACAGGAAAATGTGTTTGTGCCACTGCTTTCCATGTTCTGCATGGTTGAATCTGTGGACATGGAATCTCTGGAAATGGAAGCCCAATTGTACTTTCCTTTGCTCAGTCAGCAAAAAGCACATTTGCCAGCTGCTTGCCACCACACGAAGGGTCAGACAGACTGACCATTTCCAAACATAGATGCTACCTGGGCTGGCCTTCACCATGACTTTTTTCTACCTCTATCCCAGTACTAGTGTTTAACCAGCTAAGAGCATCATAACTTTGGCCGCCTGGGTTCTGGGATTGCAGGCATGCTCCATCCTAAGCAGCTTGGTTTTGTAATCATTATTCCTGTAGTGTATGCTTTGCTTTGGGACATTAGGATTTTGCCATAGGCAGATCCAGCTGGGGCTGGTTGCCCTGTGCCAAGGTGATCACCACTGGCCTGTCACTTCTCCCCTCACTGGCCTGAGACCGCTTATGCAGAAGAGCGGTTTCTGTCCATCCTAGCTGTCTGTCCTTCCTTGCTCCAGTGTGCCCCGTAGCCCATGATGTAGTTATTTGTTGTTCTGTGAAGAGAAGCAGGTTTTTTCCCCTAACCATAAAGATAAAAACTCCAAGAATTATAAAATACTCTCCCCCAAGGTTAAGACTTCTTTTGCTATCCATGCAAAACCTGCAGTGGGGCTCACAGGAGCCCGGTTTCTGCTGATTCTCCTACTGTTCGCTATCACAGCTGCATCTTTAGCATTGTGTTGACTAATCCAGGGCTGCTATGGGGTGTTTTGGTGGTGGTTCTTGCCAGATGTCTTTTCTATCAGGGCCAGAGGGAAAGCTGAGTTGATAGCATGTGGTCACTGGGCACGTGACTGCCTGGCTTGAGTCGAGGTTTAATTTTCGGCTTAGCAGTCAGCACTCCAGCCTACTCTGGCTTTGCATCAAAGAGCTTTAAGACTGTAAAGCTGCCCTTGCGTTTGCAGTCACCATGGCTGACGTCTGCGCGACAGCGGTGCTAACAGAGCCTGGCTTCACAGGACGGAGGCTGTTGAGTTTTAGCTCTTGTTTCCTCAGCGCGCCACTGGTCTCACGCCAGGCTAGCGTTTTCAGTTCCTGTGCATGTTAGGCAGGTATGCAGAGATATGAGTGGACACGAGCTAGTCTCCTGCAGACTGCCCTGGACCCCAGACAGTGACCAGATTTTTGAGTGGTGTGCTCTGATACCTGAAGTGATGCTCAAGGCGCTGTCTGGAGAAGGCCCAGCTGCTGCAGGAGACCTCAGTAGCATGGCCTTTCTTTGACTGGAAGAAATTGCTTTATTCTGCAAGTTAGTGTATTTCACTGTCATAGTTCCCTTGTGTTCTTCTGTCCTGCTTCCCTTGGAGTTAACCTGTAATCCCAGCACTCAGGAAGGGGAACCAGAGGGATAAGTTCAAGGTCATTCTTGACTATATAGTGAGTTCAGGACCAGCTTATACTGCACAAGATCCTGTCTCAGAACAACTCGAAAATATTGATTCCAGTTCATGGTCTGCCTGTATTCACGTTAGAGATGACAGTTCGAGAGAGTAGTGACCTTCAGCCTTTGTAGTTAATTCTAGGAGACAGTCTAGAGTATTCCACTGCAGCCAAAAGCTGTCATTTTGAGTTATAGGAAAACAACACTGTGCTTTTGCCTACCCAGTTTTTTCTTACACCATGGTGACCTCTTAAGGAGCATGGTGATGTGCATGCGTGGTCACCGTTAATCCTCACTGCAGTCTGGCAGAAGAGCTGCAAAATCTATACTCACTCGACACGTGGGAAGGCTTTCTCACCAGAGTCACAGCTAGAAGGTAGCTGGCTCAGAGCGCCGTGAGCACACTCTCTGCACCATAAGCTGGGTGCTGCTGTTAACTGAAGCTGTGTTCACTAACTCAGGCCCACCAGTCTGATGTCGTTATTTTGTCCAATCTTTAACTTGCTTTGTAGGATCAGGTTTAATTAATTTTGTAACAAGCTTTTCTTGTGTGTAGTGGGCTATGTGGGCACATGGGACGGGGGTTGCACACACCTCTGAATCCTGTTCTGTCGCTCTTTGCCTTACTTGCTTCAGGCAGAGTCTGTCACTGTACCTGGAGCTAGGCTGGCATCCAGGAAACCCCAGCGATCCTCACGTTTCCACCCCCACAGAGCTGAGGTTAAAGGCACAAACAGCCTTGCTCAGCCCAGGGTTTTCCATGGGTGTCTGGGTTTCAAGCACACGCCTTCATGCTTGCGCAGCCAGCACTTCCCCACTGAGTGATCTCCGAGACCTTAAGGTTTGTTTCATTGAAAGTCATTCATGGGCTAGAAAGATGGCTCAGCAGCTTAGGGCAGTTACTGCTCTTGCAGGGAATCCATGCCCTGTGGGTCACAGCTGCCTGTAACTCCAGTTCTAGTGAATCTAGCCCTCTGGTCTCAGCAGGCACCTACACGGTCATGGTACAAATATACACACAGGAAAAATAGTGATTCCTTAGAATCAGAACTTCCTTCTGTATAATGCTGTGATAGACGTCCAACATGCATCTTACAGACTCCAGCTCCCCGCACTTGTCCGTTGCACATTCTCTGATAAGCATGTGAAATAGAAGGACATTTTTAAGTTTTGGTTCTGAGGCCAACTGATAGTAAACTCAGAGCAAACAGTGATAAGAATGAAAAAGAGTGAAAGAAAATTTCTTATTCACGCTGTTTTGTTTTCCCCTCTCTGGAAATAGTCCTCTCACCATTCTCTCTCAGAAGGAAACGGACAGTAATGGTGTTATTTTCAGTTTCCCTCAGACCACTCTGGCAGTTGCAGGCTGATGCTGCAGGGGAGAGGCTGGCTTAGGATTTCACTGAGTGCCTTTCCCTCCCCCATCTTGATTTCAGGTGTCAGAAACTATTTAAAAGAAGCGTTGGTGAACATAATTGCTGTGCATGCAGAGGTAAGCTGTCATTAACTGTTCCTACAAAAGTAGGTAATTGAGGGGGAAGAAAGAAAAAGAAGCAAATTTGATTATTATTCATAAGAGGGGTCTCTTTTCCCTCTTCAGAATGTATCTTGAGTGTATAAGTAAAATAGAGCTCAGCTTTCTTGTGTATATGTGCCAGTCTGTGTGCATGTATGTCTGCATGTATATGTATGTTATTTATATGTGCATCTGTGTGCATGATGCGTGAGTATGGCTATATGTGTGTGTGTTCATATGTATGTGCATCTGTATGTGTCGTGTGCCTGTGTGTCTGTGTGCAGTGCTTGTGCTTGTCTCTGTGTGTGCATGTGTCTGTGTGTGTTTGTGTGCCTATGCATATATGTGTGTCTGTGTGTAACTTAGTGTTTTCTGTGATTGCACACGTCTTCTGTGAGCCTAAACACTGAGGCTAGTAAATCAGTTGTGTTGCTTGTGGGTGTGTGAATGTTGCTGCCCACGGTTCACACAAGCTGTCCCCCACGGTTATCATCTGAAGCTTCATGCAGGCATCCTTACTGGACATCCTAGGAGTGAGAGTCACTCTTCCGAAGCACATGGGAAAACAAGCTACCACCATTGGTGCCACAACCACCATTGCTGCTGCATTTTCATGCAGTGAGCTCAGTCCACTGCGGGCTTCATGGCCAGCATTCTAAGGTTTGCTCACAGGATAGCGGGAAGCCATAGACTAAATTAAGGCCAAGACTACACTGGGAGTCAGATGTCTCCTCAGCTTAGCTGTGGGCACCAGGCAGGTGTGTATATGGCTTTCTCTTTCTAGAAGGTTTGTAGGCCATCATGGTATCTGGAAAAATATGGATAAAGACAGCAAAAAACAGAAGAACAGAGTGATCAGAGAAAACAGGAGTGATGTGGCTCCTAACTTTGCACTTCTTAGAAAAGATGCTTGTGAGCATCTCTCTAGAAAGAAAGATCATATGTGATTTAACTCTGGCAGGGGTTGGTCTCATAGATCTCTGTAATTTTATTAAACATATGAGATAATTCTTGTGTTCGTTTCTTTTAAGATTCAAGCATTAAATGAAATGATTGGTGGGTAGAAGCACCCTGTATGCAGAGAGCAAGGAACTGCAGACATAGAGACTGTAAGGACCACTCTGGTCCTGTCTTGAAGGTTGGCTATTAGCCGTTATCAGTAGTGTGAGGTTATTTAATTATCAGCCTTTCTAGTCCCTTTTTAGTCCAGTAATCCAAAGTTCACCAGGGCTACCATTTGTAATAATATCTTAAATAGCCAAATTTTTGTTGAATGCTCAAATTGTGTTGACAAGAATGTTTAATTAACACTAGCCCCTCAAACTGGGAACAGGCAAAGCTAAAGAGAAAACATACTTTAATTGGTGAATTACTAAACCTTCAGATATAACTTTGTCAAATGTTAAAATTTGAAATAGGGTCAACAAGAGAAAAGCACCAATGAACTGAGTTTGATCCCCAAAATCCACATAGTGAAAGAGAGAACCAATTCCTATAAGTTATCTCCTGACCTCCATATGCACGCCAAAGTGTGTGTGTGTGTGTGTGTGTCTAGAATTTAGCAATGTTGTATGTCAGATGAAAAGAAATAATGTATTTTTAGCACGCAAAAAAACTAAAATGTTTATCATTACAGATAATGAAACTCATTTGTTTATAAGACACAGGGTCTCCCTGTGTTGCCCCCAGACTCACACTCCTGGCTTGCAGCTCTTCCCGATCCCCTGTGTGAGCAGCCGGGCCAGCAGATGCACACCACTACACCAGCTCCTGCTCACTTAACCTTTTGAAAATTGGGCAAATACCGACCCAGAGGTTTTATCCCTTTTAGAAATTTTGATTCTTATTAAAGGGACATTTAAAGAAATAAAATTTTCTCTGGGCGGTAGTGGCGCTTGCCCTTAATCCCAGCACTGGGAAGGTAGAGACAGGCGAATCTCTGTGAGCTCTAGGCCAGCCTGGTCTACAAGAGCTAGTTCCCGGACAGGCTCCAAAACTACAGAGAAATTCTGTCTCGGAAAAAAAAAAAAAAACAAAATTTTGAAAACAAATTTTAGTCAACCTCTGGAATATTTTTTTTTAAGCTGTATTTGTCATTAATCAGTAAATGTATCCAAAGTGTATGTCTGGGGACTGGAGAGGTGGCTCAGAAGTTAAAAGCACTCGTACCTCTTATGGAAGGCCAAGGTTTGATCCCAGACCTGTATGGTGGCTCCTAACCACTGGTAACTCCAATTTCAGGAGATCTGATACCCTCTTCTGCGCTCCACGGGCACCAGGCACACATATGGTACACGTACTTCTGTGAGGCAAAATACATATACATAATAAATTTTAAAAATTGAATTTTATTTATCTTCCATTCATAACTTTGATATTTTAAATTTTTATATTAGAAAACTTCAACGATTTGTTGTTTTACTTATTACTCTGTTTTGACAGACAGGAGCCGGGAAAAGTATCTGTAATGCGCTGTTTCTTATTCCAACCCTTCCATCAGGTGTTCACTGTTTCCAAAGAACTGGTGCCCCGGGTCCTGTCCAGGGTGATAGAAGCAGTCTCTGAAGAGCTCAGCCGGCTGATGCAGTGTGTGTCCTCCTTCAGCAGAAATGGAGCTCTGCAGGTACCCAGTCCTTCCGTTTCAAGAGAAATTTGTTTATAAATAGGCAACGGTGTGTTAACTACCTGCCTTGTAGACACACCTGGTATTTCCAGTGCCCCTGCTAATTTCACAGGCATACACACACATACACACGCACACACAACACATGCATATATACAAACCCACAAGCCATAGCTACTGTTCAGCACACACACATATGCCTTCTGTACATGCACATACGTACACACTGTGTGTGTTGTCTGCAATTCCTAGAGGCTCTGTTTCAGGCATTAAAGCAGAACAAGAGTTTTATAAAACTCTTTGAACATGGATCCACGGTCCTTCCATGTCTTTCCAGAGCATCCAGCGCTGGTTGTCTCCTCCTCCTCCTCAGTGAGGTAACTGTTAGGACACGGGACGGGGCCTGCTTGTGAGCTTCCTGTGTATTGAGACAGTGCATGTGCATTTGAAGAAGCAGTGGTGGGATGTGGGTGTGGTTTAGTGGTGTAAGGTGTGCCTGCTTGTATGAGACCCTGGAGGTTCACTCCTCGGTAAAACACACACACACACACACACACACACACACACACACACACTAAAACAGTGTAATCGCAGTTTTCCAGCTGACAGCTGAGGAAGCTCTCTCAGGCCTGCCTGCTGCAGTTTCCACTTGCAAACTTAACATGTATGTTTAAGTAAGCACCACAGTTGATGACATCACAGAACAAACTGGCATTGAGGGAGTAGACTTAGAAGAAATGGAACTTTAGTAAATTTCCCAATTTTTCTAGGTTTTTAGCATGAAAGTTGTCCCACTTTAGTACAAGTCTTCCCATCTTTGTGGTTTAAAATTTGGAGCAGCCCCAAACACAGGCAAGTGTTCCAGAAAGCAACATTGCAGCTATGCGTGCACTGCCCACATTCCTGGCTGATCCCGTAAACATGTGTGCGTGGTCAGATTCCACTCTGACCAGTCCACCTCAAACTAGGAAAATCGAAGTAAAAATTATCTACTGCTGGGCATGGTGATCATACCTGCAGTCCCAGCTCCTCCAGAGGCCGATACAGGAAGATGGCAAATCAGGGTTTACGTGGTCTGAACAGTGAGTTCATGGCCAGCATGGCAATTCAGCAAGACTGTCTCCAGATAAAAAGAATAAAGGTCGGTGTGTGGCTCAGTGAGAGTGAAGGTGCACACCTCATCATCGGAAGCACCACAGTGTCTTCCAAAGCAGTGACACCCGCCAACAGTTAACAAGGCCTTTTGTTACCCCCTTGCCTTATCAACACTCATTAGCAAACTACCCTGTGGACTTTGGCCATTATCCTGGATGTGAACGGTGTCTTGTTCTGTGAGCTGTGGTCACACTTCCCCCATGGCATCTCTACTGAGTAGCTGTACTTCCTTTGATGAAGTCCAGCTGATTTCCCCTTGGTTCCTTGTACTTTTTATATTTTCCTAGAAGGCTTGCTGAAGTCACAAAAACTTATTGCTGTTTCTTCTGAGAGTTTATAGTCCACTGTTGGTTTTACATTGGGGTCTGCCTGTGGTCTGTTTTGAGTTAAGAGTGGTTTGGGCTTCATTCTTGCGTGTAGAGATCCAGTTGTGCTGTTTCTGTTCATTGAATGCATGTTTTCCCTACTGGGTGGTTTGGGACCCTTGTTGAAGTCGGTTGGCTCTCATTCTGCAGTACGAGCTCCATGCTTGTCCGTGTGTGGAGCTACACCGATGTGACTCGGCCAAGCTTGCTGTGTGAATGTTTGAAGTCAGAAAATGTGAGGCTTCCAATCTGTTGTTGTTTTCCAACATCATTTTCACATTTCCGTATGAATTTTAGGATTAACTTGTCAACTTGCATTTTTTTCTCTAAGTTCACCCATGAATTTAACAGATTGTATTGGCTTTGTAGAGCTTGGTTTTATTGTAGAAGAGACTATACCTGAAAGGTAGGTGCCAGGAAGCAAGCCCAGCCAGTCAGGCTAATGTTTCTATACCCCCCACACACACAACCAAACTAAAAGGCAAATACTAGTAAGCTAGTAATTCTTATGCAGTGTGTCCATCCCCTGCTCACACCGTCATAATTGACAGCAGGGTTAGGGGACACATTGGTATGTTGGTACTGCTCTTTGGGAGTCTTTTCCAGCATGTTGTCGTCATGTTGTTGTTCTGGCCAGCCTGGCCTACAGTAAGCAGGCTTCAGACCCTCTCCTCAGCACTTACTGTCACTTGACTGACACTTGTCACTCTTGCCTTTTTCCCATCTTTAGGCAAGACTTGAAATCTGTGCTCTGAGAGACACCGTAGCCATCTACCTGACCCCGGAAAGCAGGTGAGATGCTGAGTGTTGCTGCTCAGTTCTTTTTACATCAAGATCGCTGTACTCGGGTACTGTGTCCTCGGTGCAGATAACATACCAAAGATGCTCATAAATTTGCATTGCAATAAATTTGATATTTCAGTAGAAATTTTTACTCAAAAGTACAAATCTACAAGACAGTGGCTCTCAAGGCCACTTCTTTAGAGCACATTGTAAATTTAATGTGATCTTTTTCATTCATTGCTTATATAACTTAGTCTTTTAAATAATATGACCAAGTATGACATACTCTTTTAAAAGGAAAGACAAAAAAAATTAAATCTTCACCAGACTTGATGGACAGTTTGAGTGTTGTAAATATCAGTGTAAGAGGAAGCCTGTGGTTTCTTTGCAGAGTCTTGTAGTGGAAATTTGACGGTAACTTTTAGCTGTTTTGAATGAAAGTCAGGATTTCCTACTATTGAGACATCAGTAGGTGAAGTGAGCAGACCTACTGCCCACGTGCACAGAATGTTTGCCACAGTCACAGCATTGCCCGGGAAGTCAGTCTGTGCTGTGAGCACGAGGACACTGCGGGACACCGCTCATTCATCTCTGGCCTGCGATGGCCTGGCTGTCACCGCTACAACTGAAAATGCTCATTATTTTCTTAGCAGGTAAAATTATCTTCTTCCTGCCTGCCATGGTGTACCACAAACTATTTCTAGTTGATTCCTATGTTTGTTGTTTAAATACACCTTTTCCAACCACTCCTTTTTCTGCCTAAAATGGTACAAACAAGAGGAAGTACCCAATCCATCCATATTGCCTGTTTATCCCCCTGTACTTAACCTTTTGGAACCTGGGTTCAAGATAATACAGATTGAGTATCCTGTATCCAAAATACCCAGGAACAAAAGCATATTCAATTTTAGGTTTTGGGTGTATTTGTTGGAATATCTGTGATACACAAAGAGTTATCTTGGAGATGGAACTCAGGTCTAAACAAGGAATTTGTTTATGTTTCGTTATATCCAAACACATGACTAAAGGTAATTTAGTATAGTTCTTAATCACTTAATGATTGAGGGCCTGGAGAGGTGGCTCGGTGGTTAAGAGGACTGGCAGATGTGCCAGAGGACCTCGGTTTGAGTCTCAGAACTTACATGGTGGCTCAAATTGTCTGCAACTCATTCCCAGAGAACCCAGTGCCCTCTCCTGCCCTCCACACCCACTAGTCATGCATGTGGAATACAGACATACATGCAGGCAAAACACCCATTTGTAACTAGAGGTTTCTCTCCCACCCACCAGTTCCTGACTCTGAGGCTTAATATTAATTGCAAACTGTTTGGCCTATTAGCTCACACTTTTACTAACTAGTTATTCCAACTTAAATTAACTACACCCCCCCTTTTTTTCTGGTTTTTCGAGACAGGATTTCTTACTAACCTATGTATTGCCATGTAGCCATGGCTTACTGGTAATGCTCTGACATCTTCCTCCTTTGGTGGCTTGATGGTGTCCCTCCGACTCTGCCTTCTTTCTCCATGTATCTCCGCTTGGATTTCCACCCCTCCCAGCTCTATTCTGCCTGGATGTTGACCAAATCAGCTTATTTATTAACCAATGATAATAAGACATATCCACAGCATACAGAAGGGCATCCCACATCACCCCTGCACATGAAATAAAATGAAAAAGAGAAGTAGTTTAGTGTCTGATAGGGAACTTCCCATTGTGTTGGTGCATTTTAACCACCATAAGGATCTAAACATTTTAAATCTTGGAGCATGTTGGATTCCAGATTAGAGACACTCATCCCGTGAACTCCTACACAGAATTGTGAGCTTCATAGCATGTGTCAGGTCACCTGCAAAGCTGTCAGTGTTCTACAAATAATAGTATGCCCTTCATTTTCATCACCGTCATTTTGTCCTGACAACAAAGAACAATAAGGCAATGTGTTTCAGTTAATCCAGCCTTATAGGGAACAAGATGTAGTAGAGATGATAGAAAGGGACTTCCCTCTCCCACAGGAAAGAGGAGAGCCCACTGGACAGGGAAAGGCAGCCTAATGTCCAACAGACACTGTCCCCACCCACACGCTGCTTAACTAGGGAGAATGGAGGATTCCCAGAGGTGTCTTTAGGATTCTGTAAGGACTTTCATTCTGTTTGTGTGCCCTTGGTTTAAGATACATGGTTAGGACATTCGTGTTCTGGTTGGTTGAAGAGTATAGTTTTTATACAAGATCGAAGACCTCCTTTGGTCAATATTGATTACATGTATTTCTTCAACTCCACTAGAAAAGTAGAGGACATGAAAAGTTCAAAACTATTCTCAGGAGCAGTAGGTGTTATTAACTACTTTCTCCAATATAAGCCTCACCCCTCTCAGTAATCCTTCTGGTATTCTCTACTTGAGAAAAACTAAACTACTAAGTAGGTAGTTCTTCAGGTCATTCATTTTACCTTTATCGTGTAAATATCTTCCTTTTCTGTCCATGTTAATTCTAATAAGAACTAGAAATGGTCTCCCGGTGTCCACTGTGAGAAGGCTTAGCTGTAAAGCAGGCCCTGTCAACGCTGCGACTGTCCTAAGCGCGAATCTCGACCTATCCTGTCTGTCCTTACTGCCCTCCTGCCCTCACAGCTGCTCTAGCTAGAGGGTTTTTTAAGTGCCTCCCCCTCCCCCCCCTGCCCTGGGCTCTGCACAGTCACACCAGCCTCACCTCTTCTGAGTTGCCTCCCTTTGTCTGGGTCAGGCTCTACTTCCTGGCTGCATCTCTTTGGCCCTGCCCCTGAAGCCCTGCCAGCCTGCTCACCATAGCCTTACTTTTCCTTTTTCTTTTTCTGTTATTTTTCACTTTTACTTTTTCTCTACTTATATCACTGGCCTCCTCCATTAGTGCCTCTATATCTAAAATGAGCTTAGGCATGTTTACAGTGATCCCCCTAATGAGTTCTGCTCAGAACTGTGGGCTGTCTGACTGGTGTGCTTTTTGTGTTTCAGATCTAGTTTTAAACAGGCCCTGGAAGCCCTGCCTCAACTTGCAAGTGGTGCAGACAAAAAGTAAGTTCTGGGTGCTCTCCTGAGCTCACTGGCTGAACTGCACAGGCTCTGGTAGCCAGACAGTCTGAAGAGTCTGAGAGAGGTTCGCTCGGGCGTGAGGAGAGGGCAGGCTACCCAGGCCTCGCTTCTCTTCCAGGTGACAGGATGAATTCTGTCTTTTAGGTTTGGTTTACAGCTTTAAGTGACAGGTACAGAGAATCTAGGAAAGCCGTCTGACTTAGTCAGCAGCAGCACTGGCTTCTGTGTGAAGAAGAGAGATCAGGACCACCCACTGGCTTTGACTTCTACAAAACACACCATTAGACAAGTTGCAAACATGGCACAGAGCAGCTCTGTCATTGCTACATTAATGAGCATGGCCTCAACTTAAACTTTACACTTCGTGTAACAGGAAATTGTGACCTGAGGGGAAGTCTAGGCCAGGCACCTTTTGTAAATGTCTCTTAGGCCGTGGAGACCCTGTAGCTCTTTGCTCTGTCACCGTTCCTAGTTAGAGTCCACCTGCCTTTGCTTGGGGAAAGCACACAGCGCTGGGCTCTGTGGCCAACTCAGAGGACTGCTGTGTGGAGAAAGTGCCTGGACCAGCAGTAGTCATGAAGTCTGACTGAGCTTGGGAGAAAACGGGGCAAACCAGTCTTCCCAAATGTGTGACCCCAATTCAGACCCTGGCATGTGGCAGGCGAGCGCAGAACAGTGACCCACAACACAGAATACCCTGCTTCCATTCCCTGCTTTGTTTTGTTTTGGAATTCATTCTAAGACCTTTTAGTTTCTATAAAATAAAAGAATAAATAATAGTCACCACTATCCTTAATACATGAAACATGTTGCAAAAGGCTAGTGCATTTGAACACTGAGAACAACCAGTGATCGATTGTTGGAGCTAAATGCTGTTGTGTGTCAGGGCTTGTGTGCCTGTAGTGTCAGTACTCGGGAGTAAACAGATTGCAGGGTCTAGGACAGGATGGTTCAGCAGTTAAAATACCTACCATGGAAGAGCTGGTCTAAGCTCTGTGTGCAGAGTCTATAGAAAGAGAGGGGAGAACTCAGCTCTATGAGCTGTCCTCCGGCCTGCTGTGTCTTCATGTGCCCACCCATACCACATTCTCTTTCACTCAGAATGATGATAGATAATTGTTTTGTTTAAATATCTGGAGTAATCTACATTATAAACTGAGAGTCTGTCTCAAAATTTTTAAAAAAAAAAAGCAGTCAGTGAGATGACTCAGTTAGGTAAAGGCAATTGGCACTGGATGCTGCAAGCCTTGTGACCTGAGTTCAATCCATGGCAACCTCGTATAGGTAGGAGAGAACTGACTCCACAGAGTTGTCTCTCATTTCCACATGTGTACCGTGGCATGCATGCCACCCCCCAACACAGACAATAATAATAAATAAAGTGAGACGAAAATTTTAATGAGCAGAGTAAAAGAAAGCCGTGTCCCTGGAACCGTCCTACGCTGTGTGCTTGCTGACAGTCATAGAACTGAAAACAAAAAGTCAGTTTTAGTTTTTCTTAATTGTTAGAGTAATTATTAGAGAGTGGGCCTAAGCGTTATCCTGTTCTAGGAAGGACTCTAGAGGAGTATCAAGAGAATAACTGAAGAAAAACATAGACTTGTATGTTATTGTATTCTTTGAGCAGCCCCTTTCTTTTTGGTTGAGATATTTCTGTTATTGATTAAGATCCCATAGACTTCAAAACACAGCATGGTAGTCAGACCTGGGCCACCAGCTCTCTACATATTTGCTGAGTTGCTAAGCTAGCGTGATGACTGTTCTTCATTGTCAACTTGACAGCCGGGGAAAGCGGGACCTCTGTTGAGTAATTGCCTCTACCACATTGGCCTGTGGCCTGCCTGAGAGGCATTTTCTTGATTGCTAATTGATGTCCACTGTGCACTGTACCAGCCCTAGGCAGGTGGACCAACCTGTGTAAGAAAGGTGGCTTACTGCAGACCTGATATCAAACCAGTACACAACATCTCTCTGTGGTTTCTTCTCCAAACTCCTCCTTGAGTGTCTGCCTTGGTTCCCCAGATGAGGATGGACCTGTAACCTGTAATCAAGATTAATCTCTCCAAGTTACTTTTGGCCATGGTGTTACTTCACAGCACCAGAAAAGCAAACTAAGACAACCCCTTTTTTGAGTTAGAGTTACTATTGCTATGATGAAACACATGGTTATGAGCAATGTGGAGGAAAGGTTTATTTGTCATATAATTTTACATCATTGTTCATCATTGAAATCAGGGCAGAAACTCATGTGGAGTAGGAACCTGGTGGCAGGAACTGATTCAGAAGCCATGGAACGGTGCTGCTTACTTGTGCTCCTTCCTAATGGCTTGCTCAGTCTTCTTTCTTACTGAACCCAGGACCACCAGCCCAGGGATGGCACACCCACAGTGGACAGGGCCTTCCTCCATCAATCAGTAATTGAGAAAATGTCTTACAGGCTTGCCTACTTATGACAGCATTTTCACACTGAGGTTCCTTCCTCTCATGACTATAGTTTGTGTCCAGTTGGCATACACAGACTTTTACTGTCAGAATGTTAAGCTCTCTCCTCCCTTTAGGTTACTAGAAGAGCTACTCAACAAGTTCAAGAGCAGTATGCACTTGCAGCTCGCCTGTTTCCAAGCTGCATCTCCGACCATGATGAAAACATAGCTGCCTGTGGAGGAAGAGCATCCAGAGACAGCAAGTGTGAGACCATCCTCTTCCTGTGCCAGAGGGCTAGCCCATGTCCAAGACTGCATTTAACTTCTCTCTTTTCCCCAGTATGGTGGCACAAAAAGGTGTTGGTGGGTATTTAGTTTCAACCTATTTAAACCCTGTCTTAAATGTGCATAAACAGTTTTTGTTGTTATTAGCTTTGGTCCTATAAGGCTACATAGCATACTCTTCTAAATGTTTTTTTCTTGGCTAAATGTTGTATGGTGTGAGCTTCAGGGGTCTTCTCTAGAGTGTTCTGGATTGGCCCGTGGTGTAAATGAATGCAGTTCTAAGCACCCCTTTACCGCCTCAGTGTTGGCAGTCTCCAGTCCAGGCGAGGCATTCGAGAAGAGATTTAAAGTCACGGCTTTGGAGCTGTGCCCAGAACCTAAAAATCGTTTCATACAACTCGCTCTAAGGTTCCTAGGTTTGGTTTGTTTTCTTTTAGAAAAATATACAATCTACATATAAAAATGTTAAATTTTGGATAATTTGTGACGCAGGTGTCCATAAATGATCTGAATTTTCTAGTCTGACTTTAATTTTCCCAGTGCTACACACTGAAGTTTCTGGTTGTCACTCACACTGAAGTTGACCTGTCAGTGTGCACTAGTGTGGTGAGGGCTCACAAGGGCCTGCACATAGAGGCCCTGTCACACCCACAGGCAGCTCCTAGGGAAGGCGGCACTCCCTCCCCTCCCCTCCAGCAGGCCACTCCTCTCTGCTACTTCCCACCCTTTGGAGTGTCTTGCTCCCTAGCTGGACACTGCTCTGGCATAGGCTGTGTTTTGTAAAGATCTGAGGTGCTCTGGGGTCACCAAGCACTGAGCCGTGACTCACTGCTGTCTGGCCTGCACAGTAGATTCGGGTCACTGTGACCTGCAAGCGGCTCTTTGACCTCACTCCATCTTACCCTTGGCTTCAGTTGTGCTTCACTTTTCAAAATGACGTAGGGATAGTGTAGACGGCTCTCTTTGAGAAGACAGAAGTCATCGTCATTCTTAGTTCACGTAATTCAGAGCACAGTGTGCACACAATATGGAGGATTGAGGTTAGTGAGTGTCTGTCACAGTAACTGGAAATACAGACTTAATCATTCGCATGTGTGTTGGTAAGGCTGATAAGTGTGCACAGCGGTGTCTCTCGGAACACCAGTATTATAGGTAACATAACCAAACTCAATCCCAAAGCGGAAGTCTGGAATGATTTGTTATTTTAAATACTTAATAAATTCAGATCTCAAATCTAAGTGTCTTTTCTTCAGCATTTTTATTAACTCTGTAATTGTTTATATTTCTAATTTTAATATTCAAAATAAATAGGTTTGTGTCTTCATTTATCAAGTGTCTTGTTAATTTCATTGAGAGTGACCGTGGACACTAAGTGACTCTATCCCAGACACTGGTTAGGACTAGGACTGCCTTAGGCAGTCCTGACTCTAAGTCCTGAGACTCTAAGGCAGGGAGGTGGCTGGAGACCCGCACTTGCACTTACAACCTTCTGGTTTCCTGGCCCTGAGCTTCACCACAGCCCACTTCTTCCTCCCAGTCCAGCAGAGTTTTTGTCGTCCTTCCACTGGGGCCACAGCTCAGAGCATGTGAGCACTGGTGGCACAGAGAGTGGAGAAGAGTGGTATAAAAACCCCATACCCAAATGAGGGAGCTCAGAGACAGCTTCCAACAAGTCCGGGGGGACTTCTTGGAAGAAGGGGATTTCGAAAGGGTGAGTTACAGATGAGTGTGACTTTAGTGGTGAGGAGAGGCACAGCAACAAGACGAGTTAGGAGACAGCGAGAGGCAGCCAGGCTTTGTGACAGGCGACTTGTTCTTCCTTAGGGAGCATCTGGCTTTAGCAAGTCCCCGCCAGTGTGGCTCCACATGGCTTCATGAGAGTACCACATTGGCCTCACCTTGAGGACTAAAAGGGCTCCTCGAAATAATTTGGTTTTTCTAAGACTTTCTATATCAATGTACCATGAAAGTGGCATGTTCCAGAAATGATGTGGGCATTGCGAAACAAGCACCACTGGCAGGCACAGCTCACTGTCTCACCTTGTGCTTCTGTCAGCCTGGCGTGCAGCTCCTTAAAGAAAGTGCATGGAGTATGGTGCATTATGTTCTGGTTTGAGTACAAAGTAATGGTGTGTGTTTCTGTTTGAATGTCTGCTGTAGAGTGGTATGCTCTTAGTTGTGGAAGAGCGCAGTGTTTTTAAGTTTCTACTGCTTTAAAATAAAAATTAGTAGAACATGTTTTTTTGGGTTTTTTTTATGTACATTGGTGTTTTGTCGTGGGTACCTGGTCCCCTGGAACTGGAGTTACAGACAGTTGTGAGCTGCAATGCAGATGCTGGAAATTGAACCCAGGGCCTCTGGAAGAGCAGTTAGTGCTCTTAACCACTGAGCCAACTCTCCAGCCCTGGATATGATTTTTTTAAGTCTGTCCTTTTGCTTCCTCCCAAGTTTCCTCAATGTCTGTTATGATGTCTCCCTTTTCATCTTTAATTTTGTTAATTAGCTAGAACTTTGTCCATCTTGTTAATTTTTTCAAAGAACCAACTCTGTTTTCTTTTTTTCATTAATTTGAGCCCTGATTTTTTGATACCTCTCCCTAATACTGTTTTGTGTGTGGTGTTTGTTCTTGTTTTTCCAGGGCCTTCATTTAAGAGCTCTAACTTTTTAATTTTTTAGGACTGTAAGTCTTCCTCTTAGGTCTGCCTTCATTGTGTCTCATGGATTTTTGGATGTTCTATTTTCATTTTCATTAAATTGTAGGGATTTTTAAATGTCCTCCTTGATTTCTCTTGTTCTGGTTACCATCCAGTACTGTGCTGCTTAGTTTCCATGAGTTTGTGAGCTTTCTGTAGCTTCTGTTGTTTTCGAGATCTCGTTTTATTCCATACTGGTCAGATAGAATACAGGATATGATTTCGATTTTCCTAAATTTATTGAGACTTTTTGTCCTAATATCTGGTCAGTTTTAGAGAAAATTCCATGGGCTGCTAAGAAGAATGTGTATTCTTTAGTGTTTGGGTGGAATAGTCTATAGACATCTGTTAGGTCCATTTGATTTATAATGTTATTTCACTTCAATATTTCTGTTTAGTTTTTGTTCAGATGACCTCATCCAGATATAGTGAGGGTGAAGTATCGAGTCACCCACTGTCACTGTGTTGGGGTTATTCTGGGGGTTTTAGGTCTAATAGTATTTCTTTTATGAAATTGGTTGTACTTGTATTTTGTAGGTGTGCTACTCTGCTTTCTCCTGCTATAAGCATGATTAAAAGGTTTCTTTCATGTTACAGGTCACACACAGTCCTGCGCCAGAGAAAGGCAGGGTAGGAAATCAAGGCAGAAACCTAGAGGCAGGAACTCTGCTTACTGGCTTATTCCTCATGGCTTGCTTTTTGTATTTTCTGTGCATCCTCTGTTCTCACTCTCTGAGAAACTACCTCCATCCCGAATATTCAGATGTCTTTGTGGTGCATTTACAACTGTGTCTTTCTGGAAAGTTTCTGACAACTTGGCAAGCAGGTCCCTGTGTGTAGTGAGTTGAGAAAGCCTCCAGCTAGGACCTCTTGCCACAGGCATCATCCTGAATTCACCCTCACTCCTCTTCTCTGGTGGATCAGCCACTTGGTGTCAGCTTGGTTTGCTGCCTCACTTGGTAGGACCGTCCTCTGGTAACTTCTGTGGAAGGAATACATTGAAAGTCAAAATTCTGAGGCCTTCATATCTGAAGAAAATCTGTATTGGTTGCTTGGATGCCAAATGCTTGACTGGAAATCATTTGCCCTCAGCATTAAGAAGTCTCTGCCCAGCTGCCCTCCAGTATCTTCTACGTCTCTGCTTTACAGAGTCTCCTTGGCCTTGTTTCTGAAGTCCGTGATGCCTTTCTGGGTTGATGCTCTTTTGTTCCTACTAGGGAATACAGTGTTGCAAATTCTGAGAAATTTCCTTGAATGGTTTCTATAAATCTTCAACAGTCCTAGATGGTTGATTAATTCGGTTGGTTGTTTTCTTTTATTCTCAGTATCTGGATCCCCTAACTGTGTCCTTTAAATGTAAAAATCTTCTTGTTTTCTGTGTTTATTCTGCTTTGTGAGAATTGTTTAACTTAAGCTCTTTGTCCTCTGACTATTCTCTTAGGACCTACTTATTTATTTCCCTGGAAATAATCGTCATACTCTGGTGAGGGGGTTCTTTTTATTTGTTTTCATCCGACTGTCCATTGAAATGGTCGCTGTGGGTATGTATGATATTTAAGAGTAGGGGGTCTCTAAAGCTGATTGAGGTTGTGATTCTTATAGTGGGCAGGGCCACTCAACTGGCACATCAGTCATACTGGGGTGGGCATTCAGTAGGAAATCTCTAGTATTGTCATATTTGGGTCATTCCTCTGGGGCTGATCAGATTACAAGGGAAAGATATTAGAGTTTCACGTGAGGGAGCCCCTGGGAGCCAAGTGAGGAGGAAGTTTGAGGTCATTTTTTTATAAGCAATAGCCTGCTTGCAATGGCATTCCTGAGTCCTCTGCATCTCCTGCTCCTCTGGGGCAGAGGGTCAAGATGTTTTCCCAGTTGTATGGGCAAAAGGCAGGCCCGGGGTTACCAGGCTGTTTACTCAGTGCCCTCAGAAGATCACTGGGGTTTGACCCTCCCTAACTTAATCCTCACTTCTAATTCTATAATAGGAATCTTGCAGTGAGAATTTCAAATTTGATACCTTTTGCTTGAAACGCTGCCAGTCTGCAGCCTAACTTCTCCAGATACTGAATCAGCACACAGGCACATGTTCAGTATAATTGCTCCCCATCCCCAAACCCTGTGTCATTTGCGATTTGGTGACCCTGAGCCTGGTGTATTACTCATCTATATGCAGCAGAAAATTCAGGTTAAATTTGATTATAACAATGATGTTCATGTGTATGCTGCTTTGCTTTTTCCTGGGATATGAAAGACTATTAATGGAAGGCAGGCCATGGGCCTTCTAGTCCTATGAATTCACCCTCTCTGTCCCTGGTCACCAGTGGTATCACCAAATCAGGATTAGTCTGCAGGAAATAATCTTTTGTAATTAGTTAGAAACAAGGCTTAGACGCACCACAGAAGTAGTCTACTTAACACTACAGGAAATTCAAGACAGAGAAACATCCTGGTGGCCACTCAACATAGTCTGCATTGCTGGAAATGAAAGCAGACAACCACATGAATTCAAGAAGGGAATACAGAGAAAATTAAAGAATATGAAGGAGGGTGAGACCAGAGAGAGCCTATGCAATAGTAGGTACTTCCAAGATCCAGTGGCATTTTGTGGACACAGTTTGGACTTTGAATATTTCAAACCAAGAAATCTTCACTAATAATTAAGACGTGTTAAATGCTACCTAAGGAGTTGGCTCAGCGGTGGAGTGCATAGCTGCTCTTCCAGAAGACCAGGGTTCAAGTTCTCAGCACCCACACTGCAACTCACAATTGACTGTGGTACAAGTCCCGGTGGGTGGGGTGTCTGATGCCCTCTCCTGACCTCCATGGCCACTGCCTGCATGTGGTGTATAGACATACATTCAGGCAAACACTCAAATACACATAAAATATAAATTAAATCTGTGGGCAGCATTGACAGTAAGGAAGGTCTTGTTAACATTTTATGTGTGTGATTATGAGTTTTAAGTCATTGTTAAAAATAAGTAAATTAACAAATAAAACAGCCTAGAACCCAGAGATACCCAGAGATAGACCTACATGAATACTGCCACGTGATCTCAGTATACAAAAGAGCAATGGCGTATACAGTGAGGAAGTCTTTAAAACAAATGATGCTGAAAAAACTGAATATCAAACTGCAAACAGTGAATGTAGACTTCTTAGTCCTCACAAAAGCGGATTCAAGTGGATTGTACATCAAAATTTAACATAAAACTAGAAAGCTCCTGGGAAATAACAAAAATGAGATGAGTTTGGGATCAGAACTTTTTAGGGACAGCAGATACTTAAAACTGCCCAAACTTGCAAGCAGCCGGTATGACCTATAGGTAGCTGAATAACTAAATGGTCCAACCAGACAACGTAGGAACATTCAGGAGTAAGAGACGTATATCAAGCTTTGCAAAGATGGGGCAGAACCCCAAATGCATACATTGACAAGCCAATCTGAGAAGGCTGTATACTTGTGATTCCAACTAGTGACATTCTAGAAAGGAAACACTGTGAAGTTCTCAAGCAAATTGGTGTTTTCCAGGACCAGAGGGGAGGAAGAAGTGAGTAGACAGCAGGGTTTTTAAGGCAGTGGAACGATCTTGTGTGCTATGCTAATGCAGTGATAGATATCATCCTTTTACTTC